TCCCTAAGTCATAGGGCAAAGATATCTAGCCATCTATATCAGAACAACCACCAAAAAGTTACTTTTCATTTTCTTGACTACTTAACAGCCTCTTCAGTGCAGTCAGTGACAGTGAATTGCATACTAATTTACAGCAAAGACAATCTCCAAATCCCACTTAGACAATTTAAACTCCTCTGGCCATTTTTAAAATGTGGAAGATACTTTTAAAAATTCAGGCTTAAAACTGAAAATGAGGGCCCTCCCTGGTGGTGCAATGGATAAAGCACAGCATTAGGAAGCTAGAGACAGCCGCCTCAGCATGAGTTCAATCCCCCCTCCTGGAGGTGACCCACATGGCACAGCAGACCTCTCCTGTGTCACCTGCTGCTCCCACAGTAGAGTGCTTCCTCAGTCTGCCAGTTCTGGTCCCCACACTGTCTCTGGTGAATCCTCTCACCCCCTGCACCTCTAGCGGGCACCCCACTCTGTATGCATAAATAAACAAATCTTTAAAAAAAAAAAAAGCCTAAAAGCCTAAAAATTAGACGATAATTGACTGGAGTGAAAGATGATTTTTTTTTCTGTTTTTGGTAACATTTCTTCTCCACAGAAAGAGAGGTGGGAAAGCTTACCTCACTAGCACTGCTGCCGCATCCCTCACTCCCCAGGCTGGAACTTCCTGCCTGGATCCTAACAGTAAGATTCTGGGAGGAATTAGCTTTGCTAACACGACAGAGTGTCACAGAGTTGTCTGGTGAGCATGCAAGTGTATTTGCTAGATTAATCTTAACTGGGAACAGGCACGGATGGCTCCTTGGCAAAGCAATTATGGAGTTCTGTCTGCTTATTTTTCAGTGAAAAGCTTTACATTTCCGTTTGTTCCAGGGCTCATGCCGGTGGCTCAGCAGCCGGTCTACTGTGCTTCCAAGCACGGCATCATAGGCTTCACGCGCTCGGCGGCGGTAAGTATGACAGAGCCTCTCCTGTCTTCTTTCTCTGCATCTGTAAAGCATGAGTCCTGCTACATAGATGGACATGAATTCAGCATAAAAAAAAAGGAAAAATAATAGCATCCATCAATCTTTATTCTAAAAATAATTTTTTGATCACATAAAGGACCAGATACAGAATAGATCCTTTTTTTAAAGATGTATTTATTTTTGCTTACAGAACTGGGGTACAGGCCAGAGGTGTGGGGTGGTGAGAGGATTCACCAGAGTCAGAGTGGGGAGTAGAACAGGCAGATCCATGAAGTACACTGCTGAGGGGAGCAGCGGGCTGGTCAGGAGAGGTCTGCTGCGCCATGTGGTCACCTCCGGGGCAGGCGGGGATCGAACTCATGCGGAAGTGGCTTTAGCTTCTTAGTGCTGTGCTTTACCAGCTGCGCCACCTGTGAGGGCCCCAGAATTGATCATTTTTAAATGAAGGAGATGCTACATGAAGATGTATAAGAGATACCCTAAGGATAACTCATGGGAAGATTTTTGTATTAAAATTGACTCCATATTTCAAAAGTTTCATGTCAGGGTTTCTTGCCTAGAATGTACAGTGGGCTCCAGACGTGGCACTGGAGATGATAAAATGAGAGCGAGCAGGGGCGGGGCAGCCACTGCCTCCCTGGAGAGAGTCGGCAAGATGGCGTCTTGGTGGAGGCCAAGTGCCAGAGGCACTTAGAAAAGTTGAAACGTAAGCAACCACTTGCATTGATTGCGTCAAGTCAATGCGGGAGACCAGAGCTCCGCCTTGGAAAAAGGGAAACATCGAAAAAGGCCGGGAGAGCATGGGTGTGCCTCGGGAGGGAAGGAGGGTCAAAGCCACTTACAGCGGCCTGCTGAGGGGCTTGCCTTGGATTGTCAGCACAGTCTTTACACTCCCAGGAGTGGCAAGCCCAGATTTCCGTTTTACTACCACCTGGCTGCTATTTCAGAGGCTAGGTACAGAAGAGGAAGAACAGTTGGAGGTCTGCAGTGGTTAGTCTACGTGAGACAAAGGAAGGGTTCTCTGCAGAGTGGAGGACACACGGGCCTGTCACAAATTCAATCGCAAACGGCCATTAGCAACTCGCCCTCTTAAATCGGTTGGAAATTTTGTTTAATTTGCAAAGACTTAATCTTTAATTCAGTGTTCAGTGAATACATAAAGCAATTCCAAAGCAAAGTGAATCTTCAAGGCCAGAAATTTCATCTTTAAAATTTTGAGACAGGAATGTCAGGCAGTTAAATAACTGGCGCTGAGTTCCTCCTAATTTCTGGTGGCAACATATTGATCCACCAGCCCATGCATAACATTGTTGTATGTGCCTTTCTGTTTAAAGATACTTTAGTGTGTGTTGTATTTAATCCCTGTTGTGTATTGCGTGCCTAAATGTAGCATATCCAAAGCCCCTATTTTTCTGTAAGACTCACCATAGCATAGAAACACCACACCACACTTTAGCTATGAAAACATCTTCAACAACAAAAATCACTGACCAAACAAACAAACAAAAAAAAAAAACTGACACTAAATCCACCACACAGAAAAAATGGCACACGTGTTTATTCTAGTGCAAGGGTTGAAATAAGAAAGCAAAACGTGGTCTTGTTTGACCTCAGCTGGAACATGTCTTGGGCAACTCAAATTTCTCACATGACCCCAAAAGCTCCAGCAGTATTGATTTCTGGGTTTACATGTAGATTTTAGCAAGCATGCAAAAGGAATTCAAACCATGAGAATTAGCTACATTTTGTTTTACAAATAGGTTCAAACAAATAGATTGAAAATTAAGCCAAAGAATGTGAGCTGGAATATACTTCCATTATCTTCCAGATAATGCAGATTATAGCTTTAGGATCACCCAAAGTGCTAAAAAAAATTTTTTGTTTAAGGAAGTATGCTACGGTCTATAGAACATCTATCTTGGAAAGAAAAACTGTTAAATTTTTATAAGCTTCTACTTCTTACCTTCAGGCTTTCTACAGATTTCCATAGATAAGAGCAGCTTATGTGATTAAATATTTTCAGGAATCCTGTAGTAGTGTTGATTTTTTAAAAAGAATACTTGAAGCTTTCAGGAGTGAATTCACCTAACACCATTGTTAGGTGTTACTTTACTTCCTGCTACCAGTTAACTGTGACATCGTGATTATGGTACAGCTAAAAAGAGATCTGATTGGTATCTTGCATGTTAGGGTCTTTTTCATCATTGAAACTATCAGTGTGTCCGATGCAATGCCGTACATTTAAAAATGGCCACCACCCACCTGCTTCTTCTCATTGGCAGATGGCGGCCAATCTCAAGAACAGTGGTGTGAGACTGAACGCCATTTGTCCAGGCTTTGTAAACACACCCATTCTTGAATCCATTGAAAAAGAAGAAAATATGGGACAATATATAGAATATAAGGATCAAATCAAGGCTATGATGAAATACTATGGAATTTTGGAGTAAGTAAAACCATACCTTTCTATCTCCTTTTAAATCTTGGAGCAAAGTGCTATCTAGACATAATAAAAAAGGGAAAAATAAATTTTTAAGTCTTAGAGACTAATGTAAACCTCAAAGCTTTGATTGGCAGACTCTCTAAAGGAAATCTTTTTCTGAGTTTCTGAATAGAATGTGCTTATACGTGATGAATTTTGCCCTGAGGTACAAATGTGTCCTTAGTATCTTCAGCCATAATTAAACATTTGTTGTTTTAAAGGTGATATTTTGTTATCTATGGAAGCACTGATAACTTACCTGCCAAAATTTCAAGCAATATTCAAATATACCCTTCATGAAATTTCACATGGCCCCACTTCTCTATTGAGTTTCCTAACAAATAACTGATTAGCTCACATGATGAATGATGACTTACAGTCATTGGGGTTTCACAGTAGAGACACAGCTGTCATGCTAAATGACTCAGACCTTCTGAGATCAAACCCCACCTCTATCAGCGACCAAGAACTTGCCCCCTCCACCCCTTCATTTTCTCATCTATACAGCGGAGCTAGAGCTACAACAAACTTTTTGGAAGTTGATATATGGAAGATAGTCAAGACAGCAAGATCTAAATAATAGACATTCAACCAGTGTTAGCTGTAATTCTTCATATTCCTACTCTAAAAATACTTGAATCTGAGAAGTTTAAAATCTGCTGATAGAATAAAATTAGAAAATAATCATTTTGTCAATGTAAATAAATGAATATAAATTCAGAAATTCTGTCTCTCAAAGTGACAGGTGAGACAAAGAAATCTACCATTAAAATGTCATATAATTCCATTAATATTTAACTGAATTTTTTTAAAAAAAACAATAACATTGTGGTATTTAAGTCACTATTATGCATTAAAGGTAGCAGGAACTTCAAAATAACTCAAGATGAAGTGATAATCTTGCCTCATTTTTTAATTGTAAAATGCCAATGTTGCTTTTATTTTTAGCCCATCTGTGATAGCCAATGGATTAATAACACTTATTGAAGATGATAGCTTAAATGGTGCTATTATGAAGATCACAACTTCCAAGGGAATTCATTTTCAAGACTACGATACAACTCCATCTCATTCAAATGCCCAGTGAACATCTCACCCATCAGCCATAACAAAACTAAGCACAAATGACTTATATACAGACCATATCTTCATTTGAATACAACTTTTGAAATGAAATGCTATTTTGGGGAGCTTCCTTCCATGCACCTGATATTAACTGTTTTCTAAATGATTTGTTTACTATATGGTTAAAAAAATTATGAACTCAAACACATGATGTAGACCAAAGCTAGATTTTGATCTTTAGAGTCTGACTAATGATTAAAACAAAGGATATTCAAGGAATATTCTGCCTTTCAGAAAACATTTAAAGTTATGGTTCAGAAATATTAATGTTTTTCGAGCATCCTTTTACAGGAGATACTCGAATTATTTAATTCACACCAGATGTAAAAGTTTATTTTACTTCTACATTCGCACTTTAAAAGAGAGGAGCTACCCACACTGGCCAGTGTTTTGTTACCACTAACTTGCACTCATGTACCTTCGTCACGGCCAGTAGTTGAGAAATAAATTATAGTGTGAGTATATCCTAAATGAAAAATCTCATACGCAGAAAAAGGACTATTGGGTCCACAGCATAGCTTCCCATCTATGAAAGCTATTTCCTCGCTTTTTGCTTATTTTTAACTTTAATTGACTCCCAAAAAAATCTCAGGCATGAAACTTCTCACAGTTACAACAAAAAAAGCCAGTGTTCCTGAAAAGTTTTATTATGATAAGCTCATTAACAAAAGATTAGAAGTGTATTTTTTCTTCGATTGCATCTTTGTTGATTTGTTACAATTTCACAAGAGCCTACTTTTCAATGACTCTCCTTTTTCCTAATCTCCAGAAATTACTTAATGTTTTATGCATAACTATTGGAGAGTAGAAACCAATTTTGTCACAATCTCAACTGTAAATGGTTTTTGTATAGTCAAAGCCATAACAAGAAATAAAAATATGATGTTTTGTAGTTTTTCTCTGCCAGCTATTTTAAGGTTTTATCATTAAAAGCCCCATTTGCCAGCAATAATTAATCCTGATAGTGAATGTGCAAGTGATTTATTCAGCCTGCAGTACTCACAGCTTGGAGCAAAGGATTTCCTAGAGATACTGGAACAGTGTCGTGTCTTGCTCTGTTTTAATTTTGGCACAGCACTATTGCCCTCACTTTTAAGGAGTAATTTGGACATGAATAGCTGTTGTCTTGTTTCAAATACTGAGTTCAGAAAGCACCAGCAAATGGACACTGATGAGTATCTAATATAGATTAGTCATAACTAGGCATCAGTTTGCTTTTAGTTTGTGGCAGTAACAGCAGAAATTAATACAGGTACATGAATTATCACTTATTTTACATATTTCTCCACACTAATTCTTCTCAAAGCTATAGCTTAAATTTTACATTTATGGGTAGATTTTCTTTTGTACTGGCAGCCTTTAATATACTTTCTGCTTTGAATGAATTATTTTAAAATCCAGGAACTCTGCAAATATTTAGCATCAAAAGCTGAATATAACTGAGATTAAAAATGTATTATGTATTTTAAACTAATTTTACATTAAAATGCTCTTATAGGTAACTTTAAATAAATCGATGATGTTATGTGATGTCTCTATGTACTGGGAGAGAAAAAAATCTTATATTGGGGGACAGTCAATGTAAATATGTATTTTTTCAAATGTATTTTCTTAATAAATGAAATAACACTTCTAAAACAGCACAAATGAAAATGTGTAAGCACTGAGAAAAGATTAATAGATTAAAAGATTAACTACATTCAGCAGATGTAGTTTCCCATATAAAAATAATTTTAGACACTAGTTTCATTTCAGGTATGTCCTTATACAATGACGTCTGTCTACTTTCACTGTCTCTGCTCACAACTGTAGGTGACTGAAGAGGTCTGAAAATGTAAATATTTAATAAAATCCAAGTGGCTTCACATATACAAAATCTGCCTTTTTTCTTAACTCAGACAAGAACTGGGGTACAGGCAAGACATATGAGGGGGTAAGAGGATTCACCAGAGAGAGCGAGGAGAGCAGAACAGGAGGATCCACTGAAATACACTGCTGAGGGGAGCAGCAGGTGAGACAGGAGAGGTCTGCTGTGCCCTGTGGCCACCTCCCTGGCTGAGGATAGAACCCGGGCTACAGTGGCTGCAGATAGCTTTACAGTGCTGCACCTCGTGCCACCAAGAAGGCCCCTCAGAAAACAAATTTATTGGTACACAGAAACAGATGATTGGGTCAAGGTCACAAATGCCGTCCCTATCTGAATGGGTGTCCCCTCTTGCTAGTTTCCCCTCTGATGCATTTCTCTCCATCTGACTGCTCCCAGGATCTGCTACAGAGCCAGATTCTCACCAGTGTGCAGGTTGGCAAAACAAGAACTTGTTTTAGAATGACATTCACTGGCTGTGCTTTGGTTGTGTGTCCTCGTGGTATTAGAACTGTATCTTTTGTCACCTCCCCCAAGCTGATCGATTTACAGCTCACTGGGACAGGTGATAGACCTGAGTTCTATGGACTAAGATAAGAATAACTTCCACAAGAAAAATTATGCTGCCATTACCACAAAGTAGGTAAATCTATATTGAGTGAAAACAATAAAGGTTACTATAGAGAAAGTCAAAGATGGAAGAAGATACACCTTCATCCTTTGGAACATTTATAAAGATTACTACAATTTCTGTAGCATGCCTAGGTCAATGTGTTCAAGCTGCCTGTTTCATATTGAATAGGATATGATAGTGCATAAAGGAAGAAAATAAATGGAAAAAACAGCAGGTATCTATGCATATGATTGTGCTCATTCTCAATATAAAGTATGTAATTTATTGTGAACCACACTAAGACAGTTTCAAAAAAACTACTTACTTCATTGTTACCACTAGAATTCCTTAATTTTTTAATTTCTGACCAAACCACCATGTTAATTCAATTTTTCCATTCACCTTATTAACACTACTCATAATTCCATTTCTAAAATCCCATCTTCAGATCACAGTTACACTAAATTTGAATAGGAATTTGCAAGTTTAAATGTTAAAATATACATCCCCCCAATTTTCAAGTAACATTTCCACACGTGTTCACTTGTTCAACAAATAAATACTTAACATAAGGTAAACTAAAGAAAAAAATCCCTTATTTGTTTCTGTTCTCCAGCTAACCGTAGTATGTAAAACAGTGCATAGAACATGGTAGGTGTTAAGTCAATATGGTTAGACTGAAGGATGGATGGAACCTCTACTAAATGGTTAAAGCACCAAGGCTGTCTTAAAAGAAATATAGGCGCCCTGAACATGAAAAGACAATATTGCCAATTGTCTCTGTGTTGATCACATGACTCCTAGTATATTGTGTCTAGTACCAAATTTTAAGAGGATTTTGAAAATCTGGAAATAGGAATTTAACATAAACACAGTGGAATTAAACACAATTTCAAATACTTGCAGTTGTCCTAAGGAAGGTAGAATAGCCATGATTTTGTCCAGGAAACAGAACTATGACCAAGTGGAGGTAGAGTCTTGGCATAAGGTACCATCAACATCAGAATACTCCAAGGAAAGACATCTGTCCTGGCAGCGGGAAGCTTCCTGGTCATTGACATGGTTGAGGTTGATGCTAGCTGCTGTGTCTTAGATACCTCACCCACAGCATTTCTGCATAAGTGATCAGATAGATGCAAAGTGCCAAATAATGGTCTTTGCAGTTAAGTTTACACAAAGGAAGTAGCGCCCTTGGTAATACTTCATTATAAGAGGTCTTGTGGTGTCATGCTTGTATACTATTTTGCTTTGTTTTCAGCTTTTTGAAATGTCCCCTATTTAATATCTGAATAGTATGGCCCTACTTGCTGCTTCTCTAGCTGCTACTTCTGATCTCTGGCAAGGGCACTTTCCAATGAGTCATGGTGGACAACTAACTTTGGATAAACCAATGTTTATTTGGGGGGTGGGGGGGAGGTTGTGGCAAAGGCTTATAAAACACTAAATCAATCACCTACTTCAGTTTATCTGTCCAGGGGGATGGGAAGGGGGTTTCCTTAACACCTCAAGTTTTCCTTCCTTACTTAAGCTACAGTTTCCTTAAGTGTTACCAGTCTGATCTGATGACTATTAAACTGCAATCACAAGATGTATCTCCTCCCCACCCCCCATCCTATATCTTATCGGTGAAAGGGTGGTTCAAAGTCAAGGGAACACCCACAAACAACATGTTGTCTTCATGTCCTGAATGTGAGCCAGAAAGTTGACCTTCCGTTCTAGCCTAGAGTCCTTTATCTTTCTCCATGCCTTTCACTCTGACCCCCATCCACAGGCCAAAGTCAAGTTCTTTTTTTTTTTTTTTTAAGATTTATTTATTTATGCATACAGAACTGGGCTACAGACCAGAGTTTCAGAGGCAGTGGGAGGATTCACCCAGAGACAGAGTGGGGAGCAGAGCAGGCAGATTGATGATGTGCACTGCTGAGGGGAGCAGCAGGTGGGTCAGGAGAAGTCTGCTGCGTCATGTGGGTCACCTGGAGGGCGGGGATCGAACTCGCACTGAAGCGGCAGCGGCTAGCTTGCAGTGCTGCCTCCTAACCCGTTGTGCCATGGGGGAGGGCCCCAAAGTCAAGTTCTTATAACCTTTCACATGTGCTAATGGATCTCTAGTTTTCTTTTAACTACTCGCAAGCCTCCAGCGTCTGTCCTAGTCAGGTAACTGGAAACACTGTGTTGGTATAATTTAACACCCACCAATCATCAGTTTCTCCCCAGTTCAAAATTTTTGCCTCATATTTCCAGAGCAATGAAATGAAGACTTTCAGCCAGGCTTCACAGTTCTTTCAGGATTCACCATTCCTACCTTATCTGGGCTAACTCCTATCAAGCTATGAGCTTCTGCTAATCCCACTTCAGGCTTTCTACTTCCTTTGTATCCTCATGTATAAATCATCCTCTTATCGAAGAAAGTAGGAGAACATGCAAGGAGGGAAATGATAGAATAAAACTCCCACAAAGAAAAGAAAATGGAGTATGAGAAAGGAAAGATGGGGGAGTATTTTAGGTTGAAGATACTAGGAAGAGAATTTGGGTATATTTCAGAGACGTATTTTTCATGTTTAGCCTAGTACCAAAGCATAAGGAATAGATTTCTGAACTGAATTGTCTGTGTACAGATATTTGTAATCATTGTTGATTCAGATCCAATTGAACAATGAAAAGCTTTTCATGCTATAATCATAACAGCTAAGATGGAGACACAGGCTTTCCACGCCTCCCACCCTCTGGCTTCTGTATACTCAGTGCTTGTGAAGTGCTGGTTGGTTGGGGCTGTTTAGTGGCGGGTGAGGAGTCATTCTCCTGAGCCAGAGCTGTTCCAACCATCCCAGGCAATTCAGTATCTTGTGTTCTTAAACACCACCGCCAGGCCCTGGACTGCTGGGTTCATTCTCCATTTCGTTGCACACACACAACACCAGAGCAACACCTGTCCTCTGCTTTCCATTTTCTTTTTTTCCATCTTCTTACAAGTATGGTGAGTGACTGATGAGGAATGCTGAACTCCACGTGATCCTATTTTTTGTTGTTGTAAAATATTCAAAACATAAAAAAAAACTAAACAGAATAACACTATCTACAGAGTTCTACACACACAGCTTGATGAGTTCTACACCCAGATCCCAACTTTGCTCTGGCTTGTTTTGTCTGTTGCTTTGTTGAGTTATATTCCATGCATTATTTGAATTTAACTAGCATTTGTCTTTTTCCTTCTGACTTATTTCACTTAGCATCTCCTCCAGTTTCATCCGTATTGTTGCAAATAACAAAATTCCACAAAATTCTCTCTAAAAGACTTATCATTTTGTAGAGTTTTTAAGGCAAATGTCTTTTTTCATTACTACTTGTCATGGCACTTTAGTTTTTTAAGTTGGAGAGAAGAGACTGACTCATCCCAGAGTAATTCTCAATCATAAATGTCCCTGAATCCATCTCTATTACTAAGCATTCTTTAAACACCTCCTTGTTTACTTTAAATATCGCCAGCCAACTCAGCAATGTCTCAGCTTTTCTATGACAAATCTTACTTTAATGATGTTTTAATCTACATGTAAAAAAAAGTAACAAATACTTTTCTATTTTTCACTCCTCTTAACCTCAAATCTCTGAAAATGTTTAATTCCCAGCAGTTTTTAAAAGTGTTTTACCTCATCAATTTATCTCCTTTGCAAATGCATTTGTTTTGATCAGTCTGACTTATTTTGCTGCACTAATGCTCTCAAATTCCCTCCTTCTCAAAGGATGCATTTCATTCTTTCATAGGGTTGCATATTTTTTGTGGTGTGTATTTACTACATCTTTCTGATCCAGTCCTCCATCAATGGACATTTAAGCCTTGAGAGATCTTTAAGAGTTCAGCAGAATGTGTACCAGGAAGTGGGAAACAGCATGGTGAATTTAACAAACCATTGTCAGGTCCCTAGGAGTTTAGCAAGTTTTTAACTTGCAGTTGGAAGAAGGTCTGAATCATCTTGTGTATCTTGTAGTAGGCTGCTTTTGTGGATGTTAATAAGAAGTAAAATTAACAGGTTTATGCTTGAAAAAAAAATCAATCTTGAGTTGAAGCAAGGAATAGATATGAAAGTCTGGATAATGAAGTAGGAAAGTAATGCAAAATTCCACAGGAGAGATGGTAGAGGCCTCCACAAAGATGATACAGGCTTTAATGAATGCACTAGCAAAGGAGGCAAAGAAGAAACACAGACAGGAGCTCAAGAAGAAACACAGGCAGGAGCTCCATTCGTAATCAGAATCAGCAGTGTCACCAAGGAAGGAGCTGGGCTAAGGAAGAGGACGACTCAGGTTTTCTAAATGCCCAAGTGTAAACACCAGCACCTGCCACAGATCAGGTCCAGCATTGACTCTGCTCTCAGCATTGTGCC